TAAAGCTAAAATTCTTTTTTTTTTAAGATTTTAATACTTCGACAACTATTCTGTTCAAATTGTGTTTCAAAAACAAGACGAAAAATCTCTGAAAATTGGATTCAAAATTAGATTCGAGAAACCTGAGATTAAACTCGAAATGAAATTCCCGAAGCTTGCAATTTAGTGCAAATTAAATACTAAATTGTCTATTTTGCAACGCGTTAATTTTAATGAAAATACATTTCGACGGAAAATTTAGAACGATACAGGAATTTTTAGAGTTAACGAAATTGTCTTGGTCCAAAGTGGCCAGAAAATAGTGTGTGTGTTGGTGTTTTGGCCCCGGAGGCGAGTCGCAACAATTCCAATCCGAAGTTGGCTAATCAAAGGAGGCCCTCAGAGATGCGAAACGCAGCGCTCGCCGCAAATGTTTGCGCGCGTCGGCCGTAGCCAGCCGGAATACGCGATTCGACATAAATGAAATTACAAAGTCAAATGCAGATTGGGGGTACGCGCGTCGGATAAAGCCACTTAATGCAAACGACCGTCGTCAAAACGGCTAAACCTTTTGTTTAACACGTCTCGAATTAACTGAAACGAGCAACGATGCCCGATCACTCGAATCGCCCACCCTTATCGGCCTATCAATCATTCATGTTGCATTTTCAAACGTGACAGACGTTTCAAATAATTTCCTCCCTTAAAAATCAGGGATTAATACTGCACCAATTTGCTAGATTTTGATTGATCGTTTCGATGATTTCGTAACGAAATAGAATAGTAATAATTTCTCCTTCGTTCAGAAATGAGAAATAATTCAATTTACTATTAAGGTTCGAAGTATTAAGTTCGTTTTAAATTTTATACTGAAACTGAAATTAATATTTGAAACATACACTGCCGTTCATAAGTATTAAAAATTTTTAATTATATTTCTTCGCTAAAGTTAATGTCGTGTATCAGTAAAAATATACAGGGTGTCCCAATTTTTTCCGATAAAACTTTGTCAGTATCTTCTATGGGTATCGATAAGAAAGAAATCTTATATAAACATAGATCGTTTGAAGCTTTGTTAAAAAGTTATAACAAAAATACAAAGTACGAAGGGAATTGTATACATTCTTCCATATGATGTAAAAGCGACTGTAAAGAAAAATTCAACCATATGTGACACAATGATCTACAAAATCTTAAAAGATCAGGAATGAAAGAAATACTTTGAACAATTTGAACTTTTATTTTAATTACTCTCGTAATAAATACGTATTATATCTACTTTTTCTTCTATCACATATACGGTATTATTAAACACCAAGTTTTAACCCTTTCGCGACTAGCGCCGGTTATATCCGGCATCCGCTAAGCGCGTCGCATTAGCTCGCGCCTCGACAACTCAAAGTGAAGATTTATTTTAAAATACAGAACAAGGCCTCGACAACATTCCCTTTATCCGATACACCCTTAAGTCCTATGCTGTTCCAACGAAATCCTCTAAGATTTGAAAAAACGCGAGACACTCTTAATGTGTACGGTGTGCACTAACGGCACGACGACTCGTTCGTTAGCGGCGTACTGATGGCCAGTTCCGCCGTCGCGAAAGGGTTAAAATTGATTGCTTCACTTATTATTGTAAAATATGAAATTGTAACAAGGCAGATGTTCCTTACTGATTCGTCTGAGGATATTGAAACTACGCATTCACAATAACATGCAGATCTGTACTACTGACAACGTAAATAAATATTCTGATAATCAGTGACAACCCAATACCAGTCACATTGCAAGTCTGACTGATAAGACTGCATAACGCGTTCAAATACAATATTACGAAATGTTCAAACTATTTCTCTCATTCTTGTCACATTGTGTCACACTGGTTGAATTCGTCTTGATAGTCACTTTTAT